CAGGTGTCCTCCTGATTGATGCTCATATGCATCTCCCAGCTTGTGTTCTCTGCGATCGCCCCATGAGGAACCAGCAAACTCACACCTGCAAAAGCACACAGACAACCATGTGAGCACCTTTACAGATATGCAAATGATTACACAGAGGAAATACAGTATCAAGCCAAAAGTGTAAAATTCTTTTTTTTAAAAAAACTCACTGGCTGAGCGGCTTTCAAAGCTAATTGTATTACTCAATATGCAGGGATCCATGTATGTTGAGCAATACATTACTCAATATGTATTACTCAACATACTATATTAGTATCAGTGTTGGCATTGATATCACAATATTAGTCTTGGTTATTGTATTAATATTTGTACTGTTATCAGCATTGGTATCGGGATATTAGTCTGATATCAGCATTGGTATCGGGATATTAGTCTTTGATATCAACATTGTTATTGGGATATTAGCCTATGATATCAGCATTGGTATCAGGATATTAGTCTTTGTTATTAGTATCTATATTTCTGTTATCAGTATTGGTATTGAGATATCAGCCTTTGATATCGGTATTGGGATGTTAGTCTTTGATACAGGGATATTGGTTAGTCTTTGGTAAAGGGATATTAGTCTTTGACATTGGCATTGGTATTGGGATGTTAGTCTTTGATATCTGTATTGGTATCGGGATATTAGCATTTGATTGGTACTGATATCAGGATATTTGTCTGTGATATTAGTACTGGTATTGTGATATTAGTCTGTGATACTGGTACTGGTATTGGGATATTAGTCTTTGATATTGTTATTGGTATCAGGATATTAGCCTTTAATATTAGTATTGCTATTGAGATATTAGTCTGTGATACTGGTATTGGTATCAGGATATTAGTCATTGATACTGGTATTGGTATTAGGATATTACTCGTTGATATTTGTATTGGTACTGGGATATTAGTCATTGATACTGGTATTGGTACTGGGATATTAGTCATTGATACTGGTATTGGTATCAGGATATTAGTCATTGATACTGGTATTGGTATTGGGATGTTAGTCTTTGATAACTGTATTGGTACTGGGATATTAGTCATTGATACTGGTATTGGTATCAGGATATTACTTGTTGATATTTGTATTGGTACTGGGATATTAGTCATTGATATTGTTATTGGTATCACGATATTAGCCTTTAATATTAGTATTGCTATTGAGATATTAGTCTGTGATACTGGTATTGGTATCAGGATATTAGACATTGATATTGGTAATGGCATCAGGATATTACTTGTTGATATTTGTATTGGTACTGGGATATTAGTCATTGATACTGGTATTGGTATCAGGATATTAGTCATTGATACTGGTATTGGTACTGGGATATTAGTCATTGATACTGGTATTGGTATCAGGATATTACTTGTTGATATTTGTATTGGTACTGGGATATTAGTCATTGATACTGGTATTGGTATCAGGATATTAGTCATTGATACTGGTATTGGTATCAGGATATTACTCGTTGATATTTATATTGGTACTGGGATATTAGTCATTGATACTGGTATTGGTATCAGGATATTAGTCATTGATACTGGTATTGGTATCAGGATATTACTTGTTGATATTTGTATTGGTACTGGGATATTAGTCATTGATACTGGTATTGGTTTTAGGATATTAGTCATTGATACTGGTATTGGTATCAGGATATTAGTCATTGATACTGGTATTGGTATCAGGATATTACTCGTTGATATTTGTATTGGTACTGGGATATTAGTCATTGATACTGGTATTGGTTTCAGGATATAAGTCTTTGGTACTGGTATTGCTATTGGGACATTAGTCTGATATATGTATCAGTATTAGAAAATTAGTCTGTGATATCAGTATTGCTATTGCGATATCACCCCTGGTACTGGATTACTAAGAAAATCATTGGTATCTCCAGGGTACAAGAATGTCCGAACACACACACACACATACACACACACACACACACACACACACACACACACACAAACAGTAATGTTACCCTGGACTCCACAGAAGACTGAAAACTTCTTGATAAGTATTTGTTATTTCCTAGAGAGCTTTTTACAGAATCTCAGCTCAGTCAGACACCAAAACACTTATACAGCACAGAACATCAACAACGTCTCCACATAAACATCCATAAACAGCTTCACTGATCAGAAAGCGCACACACGGCCTGTCTGTGGAAGAATGACAGCCAATTCACAGCTGTGGGGAAATTAGGCTCTTATAAAGAGAGAGAGAGAGAGAGAGAGAGAGAGAGAGAGAGACAAACATACACACACACAAATGTGCACCTGTCTAACTGTTAAGATGCATTACTGTAACCGATAGAAACAGAAGTGACATTGCTGAGATAGAAGAAAGAGAGCGAGAGAGAGAGAGAGAGAGAGAGAGAGAGAGAGAGAGAGAGAGTGTTTTGCTATGCTGTCTGTCCATCTCAATGTGTCCTGGACTGAAACACTTTGACACCTTGTAACAGGGCCTTCAGGAACTCTCTCTCTCTGTCTCTCTCTTCCTCTCTCTGTCTCTCTCTCGTAGCTGCCATCATTGGACTGTTTCCAAGCAACACAGTAGAACATGTTGTCAATAACACTTGTTCTTTAATAAATAGTTTGGTTTATCACTTCAGAATGAAATAAATAAAAAATAAATAAATAATTAAAATAAATGACATCTCTTCTTCTTAAACTGCTTGATCCAGCTATGGTCGCAGTCGCAGTAGGGAAAGCAGAGAAGCCCAGATGACACTGTTCCCCTGCAACTTCCTCCAGCTCATTCCGGGGAACCCCGAGCCACTCCCAGACCAACTTGGAGGTATACTCCCTCCAGCAAGTCCTAGGACAACCTCTGGGTCTTGTCCAAGTCAGCCATGCCCGGTAAACCTCCAAAGGCAGGTGTCCAGGGGGCGTCCTGATCAGACGCCCGGACCACCTCAACTGGCTCCTCTCAGTATGGAGGAGTAGTGGCTCTACTCTGAGCTCCTCCCGGAGGACCGAGCTCCAAACCCTATCAAGTAGAGTGTAGCTCACCACTCTGTGAAAAAGCTCATTTCGCCACTTGCATCCGTGATCTCATTTTTTCGGTCATTACCCAAAGCTCATGACCACAGGTGACGGTCAGGATGTAGACCGATGGGCAACCAGAGAGCTTTACCTTATGGCTCAGCGCCCTTTTCACCACCACAGTCCAGTACAGTGACCGCATTACTGCTGCTGCCTGTCCCAGCCTGCGGCCGATCTCATGATCCCTCCTCCGATTACTTGTGAAGAAGACCCTGACATGCTTGAACTCCACCTGGGGCAGGTCCTTTCTCCTTACCTGGAGGTGACATGCTATCCTTTCCAGGTGAGGACTATAGGCTCAGACATGAACCTACCCCTGGAGCCAGGCCTGGGGGTAGGGTTTCTTGCTGAGTGCCTGGTGGCCAGGCAGCTCACATAACCTGGCCAGGCTCAGCCCAAAAAGGGAACATGGGGGCGGGGATCATTTGGGCCCACCACCTGCAATGTTTAGCATGGGGGACTGGTTCAGTGCCTTATAGGCAGTTGGAGATAGCAAGGAAGTCCTTGGTGGCATGGATCCCTGCAGCAGTAACTGGCTCTTGGCACATGGAACGTAACCTCACTGGGGGAAGGAACTGAAGCTTGTGTGGGAGGTTGAGGGGTACCAACCAGATATAGTTGGGCTCACCTCCATTCACTCTAAAACAAAACTCCTTGATAGGGGTTGGTCTCTCTCCTACTTAGGAGTTGTACAGTTGCACAGGGTGGTGGGAATACTCACAAGCATCTGGTGGGCTGCCATGCAGTTAGAGTTTGTCCCAGTGGATGAAAGGGTCACATTTACCATCTACAGACTCCATAGTCTTGCTGGTAGATTTCAATACTCATTGACTTTATTGTTAGTTTCATCTGACTTGGGACCATATGTTCTGGACACTGGGATGAAGAGAGGTGCTGAGCTGTCAACCAATCACCATCTGGTAGTAAGTTTAATCAGATGGCAGGGAAGACTGGCGGTCAGATCTGGGAGACCCAAGCGAAGAGTGTGGGGGCTGGGAATGACTGTCAGAGGCCCCTGTTCGGAATGATTTTAACTCCTACCTCCTACTGGAGGAGGTAGGGGACATGAAGTCTGAATGGACCCTGTTCAAAACCTCCATCGTGGAAGATGCCAGGCATAGCTGTGGCCAAAGCTTGTTGGTGCTTGTGAGGGCAGCAACCCAAGAATCCCCTGGTGGACACCAGTGGTGAGGGGGCCATCAAGCTGAAAAAGGAGGCTTGTAGGGAGTTGCTGGCCCAGAGGACTCCTGATTCAGCAGGTACCAATGGGCAAAAAAAAGGAGGCGTGGCGGGGGAGGCAGGAGCAAAATCAGGAACATGGGAGGAGTTTGGAGAGGCCATGGAAAAAGACTGGGAGGTCCTCTGGAAGAATGGGGTGCCGGGGCCATTACTCTGGGCCATTCCGTCCCTGTAAGCCCAGAGTGAGAGCTTTGTCTGTATAAGTCAAGCTCGTTCAGTGTGGGTGCTGGACTCTGCCAAGGTTGTGCCTCGTCTCCACTCCTGTTCAAAACTTTCACGGACAGGGTTTCAAGGCGTAGCCAAGGTCAGGAGGGCATTATGTGTGGAGATGATGTTCTTTCGGCTCCATCACATAGATGCCTCCAGCATGTACTGGACTGGTTTGCAGCTGAGTGTGAAACGGTTGGTGCGCGGATCAGCACCTCCAAGTCTGGCCCAGAGAACACAACATTATAAATTATAGTAAAAATATACTATCAATAATCAGGAAAAAAAATAATAAATGTTCAAAATAATAACAACAAAAATCATCTTTATTATTGTAGAACAGAAAAATATTTTAAAAATATTTTAAAATATGAATAGAACAACTTTCTAAAGATGAAATAATTTAAGATATATATGAAAAATATGAATAATAAATATATAATAACAATAACAAATAAAACTTTCTAAAAACATTTCTAAAAATAAAATTATGTAAGATATAACAATACATATATGTATATATATGCACTATTTTAATCATTTTTTAAACATTTGAAAAATAATCTATATATATATATATATATATATATATATATATATATATATATATATATATATATAATTATGCTAAATATATCATTTATAAATATAAAATAAAATATAGAAATAATAAATAAAAAAATTCCTCTCCTAAAAATAAAATTTGTATGCTACCTCAATAAATTTGCTCTCAGCTGCTTTTTTGTGCACGTATTCATTTTGTTTTTCTGTTGTTGAGTATTCGGTGTGTCATCTCTGCTCTCTATGACTGACTCCACTGCTTTCCTCTTTTTCATCTTCCTCTCTCTGGCTTTCTGACACACACACACACACACACACACACACACACACACACACACACACCTCTACCTTCAACATGCTGTCTCTTGCTAACATACACCCACAACCCCAAACCCCTCCTCTACCACACACATAAACACACCCCACCTGACTGAGGCAGGTGTGAGGAAATACTGTTTTTGATATTTCCAGTAGAAATATTCACCCAGTGCAAGTACATACAAAATTGGAGGCAAATAAAATCCTATGGTTCAGCATATGGATAACAGCGGTGGACGAAGTACACAAACCCTGTACTTGAGTTAAAGTAGAGAGACCCAAGGTAAAATATTACTGCAGTAAAAGGAGAAGTTCCTCCCTTTAGACCTCCACTTGAGTAAAAGTACTAAAGTATTTGCCTTCAAATGTACTTAAGTATCGAAAGTGAAAGTACTAAAAGATTAATTATGGCTCTGATGTCCTGTTATCATTTTTGTAACAAGACTCGCTTCATGAACTCATTTTAGGTGAAAATACTCCAGTGTCTCTCTTGGTAAACCAGTCTTTTAATAGAAGGTCATTAATTAGTGATGCTGATGTCTATTAAAATTATCATAAGCACAAAACACTGAAGGCAAACAGTTTCCATCAGGTAGAACTGAGTGGCTCTGAAATCACTTTTTACAAACAAGCAAAGTTTCAGTTTAAGATTTATTTGAACTTAGTTACAAATTTAAGTTTAATAAAGACTTTAAACTCAGATTCACAAATGAGTTTCCTTTACTAAACTGCATCTGTAGGTCTCTGTTCATAAACATAAACTAGACAAAACTAATTCACTATAAAATGAAATAATGTTTGTATAAATTCAGAAAAAAGACCCGTCAGTCACAACTGCATATGAGTACATATTTCTATATTGTGCTCTATTTACACAAAGTTAGGTTAGTTCATCATTTATGTTGAATAGACTCTCCCAAAATTTTACGCTGCTGCACTGATGTTCAACTGTGTGCTGCACTGGGTCGGTATGACCAACAGGTCAAAACAAGCTCAAAACAAAGTGAGCGCTGTGCCCTGATTGGTGTTCTTACTTTGCACTTCTTTGGTTTTGACATGTTACGTTTTTATACACACATAAACCAAAAGGAGCGACAGATTTCTCATAATGTAGAGGAGTAAAAAGTGAGATATCTGACTCTGAAATGTAGTGGAGTGAAAGAAAAAAGTCACCCAAAATGGAAAAACTTCAGTACAGATACACGAAAAAACTACTAAAGTACAGCAACGAATTACATTTACTTCGTTACTGTCCACCACTGAGGGATAAAGACCCACCCCCTGGACCACCACCATTTAACTGGGCTAAAGCTTCAGAAGAGTTCAGTCAGTGTTACCAGATTGGCTGATTTTCTACAAAATTAATATTTTAATGAATCAAAAAATGAAATGCTTAATCATTCTGCTGAATATTATAAAGACTTATTTTACTCCTGCACTTAAACACCAAAATATTGATTCATACACATTTCATTCACTCTTGTTGAAGGAGGACATAGCCACACCCATCTGTGGAGTAAATAAACTTAATAAATCAAGTATTAAAAGATGAATATCCAGAATTATGTACTAATAAACTTAATATCCAAAATGAAGTTCTAATAAAATTAACATTCAGAACGAATATTTAATACAATGCATATCGAGATAGCTCTAATAATATTAATATCTGGCATTAGGTTCTAATAAATGAAATTCTAATTCTTAAAATTCAAAATTACCATTTACTAAATTAATATCTAGAATGAAAATGATAAGTAATGAAAATTTTTAATAAAATAATTTTTCAGAGGTGAGTTCTAACAAATTCAATAATATTAATTTTATAAATTATCACACTAAGTTGTAAATAAAACTAAGTACAAAAATAAAAATAAGTAAAATACTATAAAATTCTATAAAAATAAAAATAATAACGTTTTAAGAGTGGAGATAAAATCAAGAGGAGGATTTAGGTAGAAGTTAGATAATCATGGTACATTAATAATCATTTAAGTCTAGTTTATAAGAGTTAGATATATATTGTAAAAGTTATAATCGTAAATAAAATCACACCCACACACACTGACCTGTGTTTGGCAGCACCAGTCTTCCTCCACCATGACCAAACAGTCCAGTGGTCCTGAGGAGGGGTTTTCCAGCAGACGTCCAGGGCGGAAACCCCAAACTCGGCTCGAGCAAACCACTGCCCCTCCCTCCCAGCATCCCGCCCCTTCCGCCCAGGTCCTGCACCACCCCCCGGGGGAAGGTCTGGGGCGGGGCTTTGGGGTGATACTCCGCCCTTTCTGACACACCCAGGGACACCATGAAGGAGCTGTGAACTTTGACCTTGACGTCAGGCAAGGGGTCAAAGAGTGAGGGCTCGGACATGAGCTCCTTATCCATGGAGTCGGGGAAGCAGATGGGGCTGGTGTAGGTCCTGGACATGGTGAGGTCAGGCGGCATGGACGAGTTCATTAGGAGGGGGTTACCTGGATAGAAGGAGAGAGGAAAAATAATTGAACTGAATTGAACTGAAAATAAATTAGAATAACAGCATAAAATAGACTGAACTGAATTGAATTGAACTGGATTGAATGAACTGGGCTGAACTGGATTAAACTGAAAATAAAAACTCTTATGCCACTGCAGCTTTGATCTACTGAACATAACTACACTGACCTGGACTGAATAAAACAGAATTGGCAAAAAAATGTCACAGTATATTTGCATTTCCTGAAGGAAACACGGGGCTTAAAATACAAGAAAATATCATAAAATAAGTTTGGGGAAAGGAGTCATAGAACTCATAATATAGTGGAAAGAAAAGAAAGAAAGAAAGAAAGAAAGAAAGAAAGAAAGAAAAGAAAGAAAGAAAGAAAGAAAGAAAAAGAAAGAAAGAAAAGAAAGAATGGAAGTAAAGAAGTAATGAAAAAAGGAAGGAAGGAAGGAAGGAAAAAACAAGGAAGGAAGAAAATAGAATAAGAAAGAAAGAAAGAAAAAAGAAAGAAAGAAAAAAGAGAAAGGAAGGAAGAAAGAAAGGAAAAAAGTAGGAAAGGAAAAAATAAGTAAGGAAAAAAGAATGGAAGTAAGGATAAAAGAAAGGATAGGCAGTAAGAAAGAAAGGAAGAAAAAAGGAGTAAGAAATAAATAAAAGAAAGAAAGAAAGAAAGAAAGAAAGAAAGAAAGAAAAAGAAAGGAGTAAGAAATAAATAAAAGAAAGAAAGAAAGAAAGAAAGAAAGAAAGAAAAAGAAAGCAAGAAAGGAACAAATAAGTAAGGAAAAGAAAGAATGGAAGTAAGGAAGTACGGACAAAAGAAAGAAAGGAAAGAAGAAAGAGAAAGGAGGGACGAAAGAAAGAAAGAAAGAGAAAGGGGGAAAGAAAGAAAGAAAGAGAAAGGAGGGACGAAAGAAAGAAAGAAAGAGAAAGGGGGGAAAGAAAGAAAGAAAGAGAAAGGAGGGACGAAAGAAAGAAAGAAAGAGAAAGGGGGAAAGAAAGAAAGAAAGCGAAAGGGGGGAAAGAAAGAAAGAAAGAGAAAGGGGGGAAAGAAAGAAAGAAAGAGAAAGGAGGGACGAAAGAAAGAAAGAAAGAGAAAGGGGGGAAAGAAAGAAAGAAAGAGAAAGGAGGGACGAAAGAAAGAAAGAAAGAGAAAGGGGGGAAAGAAAGAAAGAAAGAGAAAGGAGGGACGAAAGAAAGAAAGAAAGAAAGAAAGAAAGAAAGAAAGGAGGGACGAAAGAAAGAAAGAAAGAGAAAGGAGGGACGAAAGAAAGAAAGAAAGAGAAAGGGGGGAAAGAAAGAAAGAAAGAAAGAAAGAAAGAAAGAAAGATTGGAAGGAAAAGATGTAAGGAAAAGAAAGTATGGAAGCAAGGATGTATGGAAGAAAATAAAGGAAGGAAGTAATAAAAGAAAAAAGAAGAGACAGCTGATGCGTGACCCACCACAAAAAATATCCAGCGAAGAGCCCCTCCATGTTCACACTCTGAGCACTGATGAAGGGCTAGATGATGGCTAACACAAACACGAACAGATGGGCTACAGTCTCTAACTGTACACTAGACAGGAAGAGGGGCTTCTAATAAAGTGAACGCTGAATAGATTTTGTAGATTGAGAACCTCAGTGGGGGGTTTCCTGTTTTGATAACCAAACAAATTGGAGTTCTCACCCTGCCTGGCACTCTTAAAGCTGAACGACTGGAATCCTCCGGTCAGGGCAGAAGAGTCAATGACGTCCACACCGTACTCGCTCTGGCTTCGCCTGTAGAGCATTACCGCAATGACCAGCAGCACCACGGTGACCACACCTGCTGCTAAGCCAGCATACAGGGCAATGTCATTGTTGCCCTCCACCTCAGCTGGAGAGAGTGAGAGAGACAGAGAGAGAGAGAGAGAGAGAGAGAGATGGAGATGGAAAAAGAATCAGGCAGTTTCTTTTGAGACAACAATGCAGCTTAACATAGACAATTTTGGAAAAATAGCAATAGTTATGTACTTTATGGCACTTTTGACACCTTATGACTTATGAAAATCAAAAGTATGGAACAAATTCCAGCTTTGGGCGACTAATTTCAATTTCAGCCCAAACATCTAAATATAATATTACTTTTTTTGTATTTAGTGCCTTTATTAAAGCATCCATTCTTTTCAGGAGCCTCACTTTCAGTCCCTCAAAGAATCTGCAGACACACCTCCAAAGTTCAGTCTTAGAAGCTGGTTGATCATTTTCTGAAGTAATCAAACACATTCAGTGGTGTTGAGGTCTGGACTCTGGGGTGGTCAGTCCATTGTCCAGCTTCTTTGTTTGATGTGTCCGTCTCCTTTTCTCAGTGAGGTTCTTCTTGAACAGCTACACATCCTTTCAGACCCATAGCACTGAGTCGTCTTCTCACAGTGGAAGGATGGACAGAAACACCTGTGGATGTTTTCAGATCTGAAGCAGCTTGATTTTCTCCTCTCTCTCAGAGATGAAAGCTTTAAGTGCTGTTTATCTGATGGGGGCAGTTTTGGTGTCGACCAGGCCTTCCAGGTGGTTGCTAGAAGTTCCATTTTCTCTTTAGCTTTAAATCATTTTTTGAACTCCAGTTGTGTCACCTTCCTTAAGCATGTGGACCATCCGATATCTAATCTCCTGAGGAATGTCTCCTGAACCTCGTCTCTCTTTTCTCTTCTGTAATAATGAGCAACGGCCACCACAGCCCTTGCTGTCAGTGCACAAACATAGATGGCTATCTTGCTCTGGTATGCTGTGTGCATTAGACATCATCTTCACAGGCAACACTGTGTTAGCTCATCAGCGATGATCACACACATTCGTACACAGCGCAGACAGTGTGAAACTGTTTCTGAACACTAAGTGGGACGACATGGGGAGAGCGCTGCAGCTCGCGGCTACGGAGAGCATGCAGGAAATGAAAATAGCCGGCCAAAAAACATGCAGAGCCGCATAAGCCGCTAACGGCGCAGGTTAATTGGGAGCTCGGAAAAGTCTGGCAGGATAATGAATCTTCCATTTGTCCCCACACACATTCTTTTCCTCGCTGCCAGGCGCTCCTTGTTTATCCCACCTCTCCTCTCAGACTGTTAGCAGATAGCGCTACAGTGTGGTGTGAGATAAATTTGACTGCATGAAATGTTCATTCAAATGGCTGTACTGTGATTAGCATAGAGATTATAGCTAAACCAATTACCAACAAACTGACGCAATTTTTACAGGCTGGCGTGGTTATTTCCAATGGTTTCCAGTGGGACTGATGCATTTTGTGTGCTGTTTTTTGCGCACCAAGTGCCTTGTGTTCTTGAAAAAGTTCAACTCGAAGCAGTCAAGTAGCCTAGCGTGACAGTTTCTTCCCTGTGCTGATGAATAAGGATGGCTTTCAGTGATAGCAGTGATGGAGGAGGGATTATCGGTCGCAGGATCGAAATCATAACAAAAAGCAATGCACTTTTTAGCATGTTTCATTAGTGCATAATCACCTGTAACTACGAATCATTGTTTTTGTTAGCTTAAAACGAGTCCTATATATCTACATAGAGAGCAGGTCCAAAAACTGAGGCCGCTATGTTGCACCACCAATTTTTCTATAGTAGCCAAGAACAGACAAACCAAACACTAGAAGCTCTAGAAGGCGCCTTTCAGATTTTTTATGTTGTAGCGCCAGAGTGAATTTGGTGGCGCTGTAGCACTGTGTGGCATGCGCCCAACCCCTGGGCGCCAGTGATGGCTGCGAGAGCCAGCAGGAGGGCAGGGCCCGAACTCCGCGCCCAGGCAAAACTTCGCAAAGACAGCAGGGAGAGGATGAATTCCATGAGGAACTGGGGAACAGTGCACGAATCCCAAGCCCCGCCTCCTGGGCACCGCCTCTGGTTCCGTGGTGAGGCCACTTGAATTTGCCTCACATTCGATCCCAGTGAATGAGCCATAGAGCGGGAACACTGACGGAGGCGGAGCAATAAGCTCATTCCCTCTCAGCTCAGGTGCTTACACTGCCCTTAATTAGAGCCACCTTTAAAAAAAGAGCAGAGAGGGAATGTGGGAACGAGCGCTCGTTGAATTCAAGTGGCCTCGCTGTGGGACCGGAGGCGGTGACCAGGAGATGGGGCTCGGGACTCACTCACTGACCCCCGATCCCCGCTGTCTGTGAGGGGTTTTGTCCGGGTCCATCCTGATGGCTCTCACGGCCATTATCGGGGCCCAGGGGACGACTGCATGCCACATACTGGTTGGAAAATGTAGAAAGCAGAAGAATCAGTGGTTGCTGCTGATGACCATTTTGTGCTGTGAGCAGTTGTGAGGACCCAAATTATGGCAAACGGAAGATCAAAAAACAAGGGTGAATCCTCATTGTCAAAGAAGTGAAAACAAACTTGGGACAGATGACAACAGAAAACCTGACGGTCATCGTAGGTTCTACTACTTGCTTAGAATGGGAGGGTCGAGGGAGGGGGATTCAGTTGGTTGCAATCTGCAACCTCACTGCTAGATGCCACTCATCGAAGCCATAGCTTGCTAGCAGCTAACTTACAGCTACAATGCTCCTGTTGCTTAGCAACAGGGAGACGCGGGGCACCTCACGTTTTTAAGGCCTTCAGCAAAATGCAGTGTGAACCCCCCACTACACCCCTCCTCAATGAACTGGGGAACAAAATGAAAAATGTTTTCTTCACTACATCTGTTGTAAACATGCTTACTTGCATCCTATTGTGATTCTGCAGTCTCTGGAGCAATGATCACCAACCCTTCTCCTGGAGATCTACCTTCCTGCAGGTTTCACCTCAAGTTCAAATCTAACACACCTCATTTAGCAAATTGAAGTCTTCTGAAAGCAGTAATTAGATGATTCAGGTGGGGTTGATTAGGAAGCTAAAGTCTGCAGGAAGGTAGATCTCCAGGTGCAGGCTTGATGACCACTGCTCCAGAGTGTGATTTTCCAGTTTAAAGGCTCTTTCTAATGGTTTAATAAGAAGAAAGCCAGATAGCTAACATTACTGCTAGGATGGCAAATATCACGCCTATGTTTATTAGCCTCTCCATCAGTGGCTTTGCTAGCAGTCAGGATTTCTTGCTGTGAGAGGGATTCTCAATGACTGTGTGATGGATTGCGTAATGCATGGGTTTGAACAAAAACACAAAAGCACATAAAATGATGAATCCTGTCAAACTTCTGATGAGGGATGCAATGCTAAACTATTGATTATTACGTGACATGAAAACAACACGTTTTTAACCTCTTTAAAACTCAAATATATCCACTATAAAATAACATTTTGGTAATCATACCACAATTAAACAGTCCCTCCCCTTACCCCAAAGGTAAGTGATCAGCTAAGACAAGTTTGCATCATCCAGACAAGGATGGGTTCACTTTTCAAGTCTTGCTTCCTCTCAGTGGTTCTTCCTCATGCTTTCTGGGAGTTTTTTATTTTGAAACCTGGTTTCTCACAGTAGTTCTTCCTCATGGTCTTAAAGTTCTTCTTTTGTGTCTTGGTTTGTCTTAGTCATTGTTTCTCACATCTTAGGGAGTTCCTCCTTTTGAGTCTTGGTTCCTCTCAGTGGTTCTTCCTCATGCTCTTAGCGAGTTAATCCTTTTGATTCTTGGTTCCTCTCAGTGGTTCTTCCTCATGCTTTTTGGGAGTTCCTCCTTTTGAGTCTTGGTTCCTCTCAGTGGTTCTTCCTCACACCTTAAGGAGTTTCTCCTTTTGAGTCTTGGTTCCTCTCAGTGGTTCTTCCTCACGCTTTAGGGAGTTCCTCCTTTTGAGTATTGATTTCTCTGAGTGGTTCTTCCTCATGCTCTTAGCGAGTTAATCCTTTTGATTCTTGGTCCCACTCAGTGGTTCTTCCTCATGCTTTTTGGGAGTTTCTAGATTTGAAACCTGGTTTCTCACAGTAGTTCTTCCTCAAGGTCTTAAGGAGGTTCTTCTTTTGCATCTTACTTCCTCTCAGAGGTTCTTTCTCATGCTCTTAGGAAGTTTCTCCTTTTGAATATTGGTTCCTCTCAGTTGTTCTTCCACATGCTCCTTGAGAATTTTTCATTTTGAGACCTGGGGCCATTTTACAGAAACTTCCTAACTTTCTGACCTTTTTGACTTAAGGCCAAGATAAGATTTTTTACAAATTCTTATTACAGGAGCTAATCTTATTTTGTCTTCTTAATTTGGGAAACTTATCCTATCTTACAGCATCTTATCTCAAGTTGGGAAATCTTAACCTACTTGAAGTCGACGAAACATCAAACAAAACTAAAGTGTGATAAACTTGAAGGTAAGAGTACTGTGACAGCGTCCCGTACTGTTTATCAGTGCATCGCTGGTCTTCAGTTTCAATTTCCCAAACACTTTAGGCGAGCGTTTTTCCTTAAAGTTAGGACAGAATTTAAGTAATTTCATCTAGTTATGATGTTTGTATGATACTGTTTTCTTATATGGAGTTAATGATAAAATTATGAACTTAAGAACTGTTCTGTAATAGCTACTGTCTTAAATTCGGTTATAACTGAAGTCGTCATGGACACTAAACAGATAAGATTTCAGACTTCAGACATTTCTGTAATATGGCCCCAGGCTCCTTATAGTAGTTCTTCCTTATGGTCTTAAGGAGGTTCTCTATTTGAGCCTTGGCTCATTACGGGCTACACCCACATTTTTGTCTGCTTTGGGACACTGACTTTTGTTGTAAGTGCTACACAAATAAAACAGAACTGAACTGAATTTACAGCAACATCCAAAGCGAAAATCTTGTGACCGAAGCCTTCTGAGTGAAGCATGGCAGTGGCTTTCCACATAAATCTCTCAATAATGTCTCCTGGCCAAACAGCTTACAACTCTCTACAACAGGATAAGAGATGAGAGAAGAGATGGAAAAAAAAGAAAGTGGTGGCATCTCACCTGGAGGAACCTTCATATCATGCAGGAGCTTTTTATCTGCAAAGATAAAGACATACGCAAATATACCACATATCACATCAAGGGAGTGTAATGATTCTGATGCAACATGAACTACTGCATGCTGAAGATGGTGCTGTGATGAACTGATCAAAGATATCAGTTGAATTTCATCATCATTTATAGACGAGATGATGGACTGTGGAGAAAACATGCTTTGACTTTCATTGCATTCTGGGATATGCAAAACAATTGGCTCCAGTCTACAATGGGACACTTCTTCTGCTATTCACCTATCGCTATAATTCTTCACAATACCACACTGGAAAGGGACACTAAAACACATCTAATTCAACTCAGCTAATGTACTTTATGTATGTATGTATGTAGCACTATGACCTCTACTAGCTAATTCTAGCCCCGTCACTTGCACATTTTACCCCTTGGCAGCTCTTACAAACTTTGACCCTTTCAGGCCCTTCCTGGCAACCACTAACACCCTCTGGTCCTCACTAGCCATCACTAGTGCCCTCTGGATCTTCTGCCCTGTTTAATCCCCTCAGGCTCCATAGGCCCACTGGCACCCTCTGATCCCCTTCTCGCCTTAGCCACCACTAGCTCTGTTAGAATCCTCTGCCCCCCTCTAGCCCTTACTAGACACCAGTGGCTTCCTTTGGACCCTCTGTCCTCCACTAATTCCCTCTGACCATTACTAGCAACAACTAGCTCCTCCTGGACCCTCTACCCACCTGTAATCCCATCTCAATTTTACTAACCATCTCCATATGGACTCTCTAGCCCCTTCTGGCCCTTACTATCGTCTGGTCCTTGCTAGTCACTTCAAACTCTATCTGGCCACTCTGGCTCTTTTTGGCCCCTTCTGACCCTTAAGAGCCACCTGTAGCTCCCTGTGGTCTCTCTGGCACCCTCTCCCCCCTTGGGCCCCCTACTAGACACCACTAGCTCCCTCTGGACCCTCTACCCAACTGTAATCCCCTCTGACCATTACTAGCAACCACTAGCTTCTTCTGGACCCTCTGCCCACCTCTAATCCCATATGATCTTTACTTGTGATTCAACATCTCCATCTTGACTCTCTAGCAACCTTCTGGCCCTTACTATCCACTACTGGCTTCCTCTGGATCCTCTGGCCCTTGCTAGCCATCTTAAACCCCCTCTGGTCCCTCTGGCTCCTTTTGACCCTTAATAGCCACCTGTAGTTCCCTCTGGTCTCTCTGCCACTATCTGGCCCTTTTGAGCCCTTCCCTCTGGACTCTCTGGACCTGGGGTGAGCAAGCCAGACAGGGAGTACAAGAGACGTTCTTTGCCTCTTACACTGAATGCAAAGATGGCCAGTCTTGGACAAAGCCAGTGTATCTGACAGCTCAGAAGACTGGTTTTGTTAAGTGCTTTTCAGCTTTTGATGAGGACCTACCTCTTCTGATTAATGCAAACCATACAGCACAGATTGCTAGGATTTTACCTTCAGAATTGCATACAGTGACAAGGAGTAGTAGATATGTGATATGATGAAGGTGATGATGGCAGTCAAAGTGATGGCGTCCCACAGGACTACATCCAGTTTAATTTGAACCCTGTGGACATGTTTTTGGATGCTTAAGCCACCATTCTGAGCCATATATTCATTCACACAGTCTGAGATGACAACAATGGTGATGAAGAAGATAATGATGATAAAAGATGACGGTGCTGATGAAGTTTATAGTGATGTTGCCTACCTAGAAATTAAGGCAATGATGTGGAGATGTGATGAGGTAATGATGGCAGTCTTGATAGCTTAAGCAGAGATTACTGATGAAATTTCTGATGGAGTCCCACAGGGCTCAGCACTAGGTCCACTTTAATTTTAACATTGAAGACATGCTTCTGGGTATTTGAACCTCGGTTTTGAGCCAAATCTTCAAGGTTAAGAAGAAAATGATAATGATGGTAAAGGATGATGATGATTATAATGATGATGTTGAGGGTGATGATGTTAAAGCTAATCACGATGCTGCTGATTACGAAGATGATAAAGGCAACTCACCCTGAGTACAGAGATCTCCGGTGCAGTTGTCGGTGTCCAGCGCCGCCCCATCACACAGTCTGCCCCCGTGTTTGGGCTCAGGGTTTGTACAATCTCTGCTGCGCTGCCTCTCACACTCCACGCTGCACACTGACCACTCTGACCATCTGGCCCAGCCACCGTCCACTGTGCACACAAATACAGGCCTTCGTTAAAAGCACTCCACAAAACACTACCATTCGGATCAGTTCTCTAAGCAATCCCATTATCCCGTCCCCCTATCAGAATAATCCCTGTATCTGATCCAAACTTCTCGGAACTTTCTTTTGTCCCAAAGCTTACAGACTGGCAGCTCATTTCCCACTCTCTCCCTCGGGGTCCAGCTGATAAATCTGATGCTTTTTTCTCTCCACCTCTGAAACCCAAAGACAATTTACTTTTGCCTCCCCCAATCAGCCACTCCCCCCACCCTCCTCGCTCGGGTTACCGCCTCGGCTTCCTCCGTGGCTAATCTAAATGCAAATGCAGGACATAGGCCGAGTGAGTGCTGGACTGGGGAGCGAGATTCTGCTCGATTTTTCAAATGGGACAATATATCCATGTGTATAATATCCACTGCACATTTTAAAAAATCTAATTAATTAATCCAAAATCCATTTCATATGTAAATACTGTCATTCAAGCATGTATCTGTATATCAATACTATTGATTAGGGCTGCAATGACTGACCATTAGTCAGTGCAGTTCATTCATCTTTCTTTTGTGGGTGAATTTGTGATGTCTACTAGGCGTTGCAGAGACTAGACGACTTGTCAACTTTACGACTTGATGATGACGCTTTAAGCTCGATGTTGACTAATGACACTAACAACATGGACACCTCAGGGAAGACAACAGGTGAGAAACCTGGAAATTTCAGGGTCCGTATCTCAGGTTTCCTGAAGGCTAGCAATGTGATCCAGGGCTCGTTGGAGACCATAGGGAGGTCACGTCATGCTCTACTATCCTGTGGAGTACCTTATAGCTTCGTTCTAACATTTCTCTGCCAACAGTGCTTTAAAGCTCAGATGTTAAACGTCGTTATCTCTGGTTTCCCCAAGACAACAATAAAAAGTCATGTGCTCTTGGAGAGGAGCATAGCACCCTATAATCCTCTAAAGTTTAAGTTGGTCACTCTTGTTATGGCACTCTGGATCTCTGGATCTCTGGATCTCCACTGCGGGAGAGCGCCTTCACAAGAATGCCTATGGTGCACCTATGTCGGATATAAGCTTGCAAGATTCCAGGGTAACAATGCGATCCAGGGCTTGTTGGAAAGGACACATCATGCTCTACTGACCTCTAGAGTTTCGCTTCATCAAGATTTCAAATTTTTAAACCCAGTTGTTGCAAAAGCATTCCCTTCTCCTGTGGTTTTATACATGACATCATCAGCATTAGTCAGCAATGTTAATATGTATTTCATAGCTTTTATAATGGTATACATTCATTGTCAAACAGGATCATCAATTTTACCATCAGTCAGAAAATGTCAAGCGGTGCAACCACACATTAGTTAACAATATTATATACTAAAATTATTTGCCACTATTGAAAATGTATAAAAATAGTCTTTGCACTTGAACTTTTGTCCTTGAACTCAAGATATGCATGCACTTTTTTCGAGTAAATAAATATAATTTTAATAATGGCACGTTGTCCATGGTTTTCCTGGGGTCACACCACCTGACTTGGTAAACTACACCAGCCTAACCATAACAGAAAAATGAAAAATGTTTTCAATATTTGTGAAGGTCTACTGACTTTGGCATTGTACCCTGACGGTCAGATGAGATATTTTTAAAACCACAAAACACTTCCCACTTTTTTTTAAAAGCATTTCAGAATAAAAGTCCTTTGCTGTTGGTTGTGCCACATGACATTTGAAAAAATCAGAATTTACAGACAAACATTTTTTAAATGAGTGGAGCATTTTTAAAGCTTTCAAACAAAATCAAGCCAAAGTATTTTGGTTAGAATTTCACATAAGTAAATTAATATTTGAACAGTTTATTCAACCTGCATATATGGGCGGACGGTTGCACCACCTGACACTTTCATACCTTAAAATATTGTACTGTGTTCACATAAAGCAGGTACTGTAGAATAATATGACATATGTCATGTGTTTATTTCATTATTTTATAGGAAAACAATGGACTGATCATTGAAACAGGTACAGTGATGTGTAGTTACAGCCTCATGTTGCCTTACATAGAGGCCTCTGCACAACCCCCTCCTCCACACCCCCCGCCCAAACACTCTCAAACAGAGGTAAAGGCTGTAGTGTACCTGGGCAGGGGGAGGTGCAGGTGCTCTTCTGGACAGACATGCCTTCGCAGAAGGCCCCCCCGTTGAGCGGGGCGGGGTTGGTGCAGGTGCGCGAACGTCTCTGAACGCCTCTCCCACACCGGACACTACAGTCTGACCAGTCCGTCCATGATGACCACCCACCATTCACTGAGGACAGAGAAAGAGAGAGAGAGACAGTTTTGATATTGTCATTAGCGTTAGTTTCAAGGGGTGATAATAGTGTCGTTGAGTTTTTATTCTCTGAAAAGTTTTAGTTTAGTTTTAGTTGAGTTTAAGTTTTAGTTTTAGCTTTGAGTTTTATGATGAACACTGTGGTAGCAGGTATTTGGTAAGAGTAGAACAAAATGAACTCAACAGTGAACTAAACTCGGCTCCAGCTTTCCTTAAAGTTTACTTCTAAACTCTCATTAACACACTGACAAAAACTGTTTTTTATTTAGTAATTTTGATTTGAATTAGTTTTGCCTTTGACAGTTTTGATTTACTTGAAAACTTTTTTTACAGTTAATGAGCAAATTTTTTCACTGCTAGTTTTCATGTTAGTTAACTATAATAACCCTGGAGAGAGAGAGAGAGAGAGAGAGAGAGAGAGAGAGAGAGAGAGAGAGGAGAGAATGAAGAGAGAGAGAGAAGAAGAGAGAGACAGAGAGGAGAGAGAAAGACAAATGAAAGAGAGAGAGAGAAAGAGAGAATGAAGAGAGAGAGAAGAAGAGAGAGAAAGAGAGGAGAGAGAAAGACAGATGAGAGCAGGAAAGAGAGAGAGAGAGAGAGTAAAAAAAGAGAGAGAAAGAGTGGAGAGAGAGAATGAAGAGAGAGAGAGAAGAAGAATAGAGAGAAAGAGGAAAGAGAAAGAAACACAGATTAGCGATAGAGAGAGAGAGAGAGAGAAAGAGAGAATGAAGAGAGAGAGAAGAAGAGAGAGAAAGAGAGGAGAGAGAAAGACAGATGAGAGCAGGAAAGAGAGAGAGAGAGAGTAAAAAAAGAGAGAGAGAAAGAGTGGAGAGAATGAAGAGAGAGAGAGAAGAAGAAGAGAGAGAAAGAGGAAAGAGAAAGAAACACAGATTAGCAATAGAGAGAGAGAGGAGAGAGAGAAAGAGAGAGATAAATGGATGATTTAGATCCTGATGGTACTTCAGGGACAGGAAGCAGCAGCAGCGGTGAAGCTCCGCTAACGACTCCTGCTGCTCTTCAAGCCAACGATGACTGACTGATCAGCTAATTGGTCCACAGAGGACTACAAGGCCACACTACAGGCTAACTGTGTGTTTTCTGACACTTCATAATCACACATCTAACAACACGCTCACACACACTTTCACACACTTTCTGAAGTCTCACTGAAGAAAATTAACAGGGGTTGATTATCCTTTGGGGAATGACAGCTGTGTCTGATCCACTCGCACCAGCGCAACACAAACAGTGCATCATTTATTGAGTGTGGATATGTCTGAGTCCCAAATGACTGTTTCTTAGCTGTATTATTCACTGCAGGATCCAGTATTTAAACTCAAGTGACCAATGACGGCCCAATCTCAAATGGCTGCCTGCTCCCTACATAGTGCACTACGTGTGCACTATGTAGGGAGCAGGGAGCCATTTGAGATTCGGCCGTCATTGGTGCTAAATAAGACTCGCTGTTGTGATTTGGTGAACAAAAAGTGCTTATAAAGTGCAAGTTTTTGCATTAAACAGTGCTGTGATATCATAGTTCTTTATTATATGACAGAAAGTTTAAAAAGTTCATGGAATGACAGCGATGGGCGACCGAACGTTCTTCTCATTCAGCAGTCCATGGTTGCTTGGCCTTCATACTCTAAAGGAACTACATTTCTTGGTGGAATACTTGATTATGTCAAGTATTATTAATAATAAATTATTTTCTGCAAAATTGCATATTTTATCAGATTTCATGTTGGCCGCTGCTTTTATTAAATAAGCCACTTGAAGCTGTGCGGTGCTGCGACTTTATCACAGAAAAGGGACTTGTACTCTACATGGCTTCTTGTGGCTTATTGCTTTATTAAACAATTATAGCACTTAAAGCAAGGTAAGTAACTAGCAAGCAATAGGCTGTGGTTGCCCTTTATACATATATGTTATAACTGCTCATGAATGATCCTACTACCTTATTAATAATTATTAATAATCTAATTTTAAAATATTAGACTTATTGTAAAGTGGCACCTTGTTAATATCTTAAAATTAAGCAGTAAAATTAAAGGCCTTCTATGAGTGGGTGTGTCCAAACTTTTGATTGCCTTTCAAAAACAACCCACCCACATCTGTGTTGCCATAATTTGTGCCACTGAAAAAGAATAAAAAGGTGCGTTCTCTAGGGCAGCCATGCCAGCCTCTGGGCACCACGGTGACTGTCGTTGACGAGTTTTGACAGCTCATGTCAAAGCCCTCTGCTAAGTTCAATCAAGCTTACGGCGCCACGCTTGCTTTAGCTGCCGACATCTGTTCCGCACCGTTTCAGGAACACAGCATGAGCAGGCGTGGGTGTATTTAGCCCTTTGTGGGGACCATGTCCCCGCAGGGTAATGAAAACATGAACATTTAGTGGATGTGGGGACATAAGCTGCAGTTTTTGTTAGGAAAAGTCAAAGAGAGCAAACTTGATATTTCGGTTGACAAGGTTTAGGTCAGAGTTGGGTCTAATGGGGCGCAGCAGGAGACCCTGGAAATGCACCACAAGCACACCTATACATGCTGCAGTGTGAGCGTATGTGTGTGTGTTACTTAACCATCACAACGTCGTAGCAAAACACCGTAAGGCTGTCACAATTAGCCTAATGGGGCCTGAAGTCTGTAAAGCACAGCCACGTACGGGGCAACAGAATCGTTAACTCGTTAGAAACGCTGCCAATATAACCAATCAAAACCGTTCTGACAGGCCGAGTGACCAGATATGGGTCTGCGAATGATGAAGCTTCGCCGTTCCCCATTACACCTTTCATGATAAACCATTAGGTGTTTGAAAAACGAGGGAGAACGTGTCATGCAGCATGGCAGCCATGATGATTTATAAGCAGTGTTTTTTTTCTCCTTCATGTTCAGTTTCTGAAGGGCAGCACAGGTCAGTGGATAGATGAGTGCTGGAAAGTAGCATTTCGAGCAGCTTTCCAAACAGACCCATCTCTGCAAGGTCAAATCTCTGAACGGCAACAGAAAGCTTAAAAAATATCACAATAAACTCTGAGAAAGAGACTGACAAGGTGACTCCTAACTGGAAGGAACAGACTGAATAAGAACTCCGTGAACATGAGAAGTGGTTGTCTGGTTGTAGTAAGTCGAGGCATTTACATTTTCCTCTCTATCCATGTTAGTAGAAATCTTCCAATCACTGGCCACTTTATTAGAAACACCAACCTTACATTTCCTCTGACTGGCCACTTTATCAGAAACACCAACCTTAAACTTCCACTCACTGTCGACTTTATTAGAAACATCAACCTTGCACTTCTTCTAATTGGCCATTTTATTAGAAACACTGACCTTGTGCTTACAGTCGCAGGCCACTTTATTAGAAACACCAACCTTGTACTTCCACTAACTGGCCACTTTATTAGAACTACCAACGTTGTACGTCCTCTGACTGGCCATTTTATTAGAAACACTGACCTTGTGCTTCCACTCACTGGCCACTTTAATAGAAACACTGACCTTGTGCTTACACTTCTTGGCCACTTTATTAGAAACACCCACCTTGTACTTCCACTAACTGGCCACTTTATTAGAAACATCTGCCTTGTACTTCCTCTGACTGCCCACTTTATTAGAACTACCAACGTTGTACGTCCTCTGACTGGCCATTTTATTAGAAACACTGACCTTGTGCTTTCACTTACTGGCCACTTTATTAGAAACACCCACCTTGTACTTCCACTAACTAGCCACTTTATTAGAAACACCTACCTTGTACTTCCACTAACTGGCTGCTTTATTAGAAACACCTACCTTGTACTTCCACTAACTGGCTGCTTTATTAGAAACACCCACCTTGTGCTTACACTTCTTGGCCACTTTATTAGAAACACCCACCTTGTACTTCCACTAACTAGCCACTTTATTAGAAACACCTACCTTGTACTTCCACTAACTGGCTGCTTTATTAGAAACACCAACCCTGAATTTCCACTCACTGGTCACTTTATGAGCCCCACCTACCTTACAAGTTCACTATATGTGCCCAATTATAGGCTGCAGTCCATCTGTTGGTGCTTGCTTTACTATTACTAGACAGTTAAGTGACTGAAATGTGACAGAAAACCTTCATAGAAAAGTCTTAAATCTCACCAAATACAATAACAGTTGCTGGGGCACTGCGTCTTCTAGCGACAATGTTGCTGGCCAGACAGGTGTAGTTGCCCGAGTCTGAGAGACGAGCTTCACTGATGATCAGGTTGTGGTCTGCTCGAGTGTCAATATTAACATCATCAAGTGTGCTGATGGGCTCATCATTCTTCAGCCACTCCACCTGCAGAGGAAAGAGAATGAAAATGCAATCAAAGACCAAACTTCTGTACCAAACACATCTCTCAATAAATCAAACTTTTTTCAAAATTAATTAGATGACTGGAGTTATTAAGACAGGCATGACTAAACCAAGTCTTGGACAAGTATTAACATATAGTTCAGAGGTCTTCACATCCAGATCTTGTGTCCAGTTTTCAGTCCTGGATTTTGTAAACGCTGGTTCGTACAACACTGCACAGCCAATCAGTCAACACTTTAATTACACCCCATTTTTGCCTGAAATAGTGTACCCAAAGTTAAAGGAGCACTATTCTCACATACTTTGGCTATAGTCATAGTCTTGGTCTCATTTGAAATTATACTACTCTCAACTTTTTTCCCAACCATCAAAATAATGGTATGAATTATTGACACAGAGTAACAGATGCTAGAATGGAGGAGTTTATTTCCACCTGACTCAGATCTCTAAACTGATCTCTGACTCTTGCCGTGTTATCAGACCACATGTTTTGGATTATGGGGTCTCTGAAGAAGACCAGCGAGGCTTTGAAGGTGAGGACACACAGATCATAAAATGGGAATCAAATCCTGAGATTTCAATCTTTCAAATGGTATACTGCATCACCACGTTGCTGGACGAGTTGATGCCTAAAATTGGTGTAGAAAAAAAAAACAGAAGTGAACGCTTCAGCGGAAGTGTGTCGATATCAGCACAGTGATCTAGAAAAAGTTAACTACCAATGAAGTACTTGATTTGAGACTCAAGGTAAGATGCCATCCAGCAATAGATTGCATTGTGGAGACACCAGTGGATTGCAGTGGCTGAAGTTCCAAATAGTGATACCCTACACTGTTAGAAATGAACGTCCCCTCAAAGGTCCAACAGTGGTTTTAAGGTCTGATTGTGAACCTTAAATGAGTTTTTCCAGGTGAAAAGTTCGTATTTGTACCTTTTCATAACCGAATGTTTTAAACAGAACAGTAAAATAAAAGCCTGGAGACGAGACGGGGTGTGTGGAGTCAGTACAGCTTAGAACATATCATTTCAGTGGATTATGGTTCAGTTATGTTCTCTGACTAAAGGTACTGAAATGGACCCTTGAGGGAGCCACTCCAGTGACAAGAGGGGAACTGACTCAGAGACAGTTTAGTACCTTTATTTTTGAGAGTGTAGAGCAGAGGTTTCAATCCTAGTCCTGAGGTGGGTCCCCAGGAATAGGACTGTAAACCACTGTCTGCCTTTGTAACTATAGAGCTTTGGAAGAGCTCATTTTAGACTTTTGGACTGATGGGGAAACTGAGAGGAAACAAGAATAACAAGGTGAAACTTCCTAAGCATGAGGAAGGAACATATAGAGGATCCAAGATCTAAAAAAAGAGGACCAATCATCTTCTGAGCTGTACCATTTAGGATACAAGTACAGCGAGAAAAAGATCGTGCTAAAATGTTACCAGCAGGAAAATGAGTCGGTCAACAGTCAGCAAGACTAGACAACTAGCAATACCAGCAGTCAGAACCAGAAGTTAGCGTTCCCTAAGAATCTCTCCAAGGAGCGTGAGGAAGATACACGGAAGCCAAGATTCCAGATAATAGAGATGTTTCTTTCCTACTCCATCACTTCAGGTCAGGTTGGAGTTCGTGGTAGAGAGGCAAGGTCCGATCACAGTGATTTATTTGGGGCCGAGGTATGGGCGTCTCAACCCATTTGGGACCGGTTTGGGATCATCGCCGAGGCAATGCCCCTCCATCCGCACGGCTGGACCGGTTAGATTACAATCGCTGGACAGCCGGGGCCGGAGGTCCTGAGAGAGTTCAGCAGGGGAATGTCAGGGACAGGGTTGATTTATGTCTGTGTGTTTGAGAATTAAAAACACAGCATGGCTCTGGGGAGGATCTGCGTGTATGTGTGTGCGTTTGTGTCCTTGCCCTGCGTGAGAAAACACTACAGCTGCAAACAATAAGATTGCCTCTCTCTCTCTCTCTCTCTCTCTCTCACTCTCTCTCTCACTCTCTCTCTGAAGAATAATGGATTTCAGAGGATCGATATATCAGCCGTCAGCTGCTGAGCGGATAAATGTTTTTCGGTCCCTGTTTGATGGCCGGAGAGAACTCTTTCATCACAAGCTTTTAATTTCACTCTTTTCTCTGTTCCACTCCACAGCTCCTTGAGAGCCACTGGTCCACCCTCCCTGTCTCTGTGTGGGTTGTCTCTGTTTGACTCTCTGCTTCAGATCTACCTCCTCAACCTTATTTTATTTAAACTATGTTGCTGTAGAACTCTGTTTTATTACAGATCCAAGCACTGAAACCTATTTACCTTTCTTTTATTATGGGTTCAAGCTATTGTTATTGTTCAGAGTTTTATCATTTTTCTTCATCTTGACAGCTTCCATAGTCTTGCAGGCCCAGACGGGATCTCATAATGAGAATATCTATCAAAATCCACCGCAAACGAGGGTACGCCACGTCTAAAACCTGCCACCCAATTCGGCTAGCCCGTGCTCTTTTAACATCCGTACAATCAATAACACAAGCAAAACAAGCTAGCGAGTGAAGTGCTATTGTTAGACAACTTTCTATCTTCAAAATCAATATTTTGGGAACATTCATTTTAGTTTTGTCAGTTTTGTCTGAAGACAGTAAACCAGGTATCTGATATCTTTTAAAGTAAAGGTATAGTCTGGTTTAACAGAACCATTTCTCCCTTGGAAAAGGTAATGCTTCTTTTTTTACTGCATGCAGTGTGCACTCCACACTCATCTACAGATTCACTTAGACTTTTTGTGGGAAGTTTTCAGTCGTGCTAACTTACATTACATCCATGGGCCAGCTACAGGTTTGCTGTCCTAACGTTGATGAGTGCACCAAGTCAAGTCAAAGTTTATTTATATAGCACTTTTTACAACAAGTGTTGTCACAAAGCAGCTTTACAGAAAAATCCAGGTCTGAGCTCCCATGAGCGTCGCCAATGGCGACAGCGGCAAGGAAAAACTCCCTAAGGGCAAGAGGAGGAAACCTTGAGAGAAACCAAGCCTCAGAAAGGGAACCCATCCTCCTCTGGTCGACACCGGATAGCAAACAGCCTTAGTATAACATATTAGAATACAAAAATGGAGAAAAACAGGCGGAGCAATGGTTAATTAGATAGTCTGAGTTTATGCAGCAGCAGCAGGAGGGTCAGTTCATGCAGGTGAGATTTGCACAGTTTTGTTTAGCATGAAGCTCCAAGGTGGTTGAAACTCTGGTGGTGACTCTAGCACCATCACTTCAAACTGTAAGCTCCTCTTTTACCTTTGGGTTGATTTAGAAAGTTTGATTCCATTTCACTCAGATACCATTCAGATCCTTCTTATGGTAGTCCCCTGACAGGGTACAGGTTCCACAAAAACACCTGTAGGACACACAGACTTGCAACTTGGTGGACGGGTATTAAGCCCTATCTGCTGCTCATAAACATGTCTTAGTCATTCAATGGGGCAATTTCTGAATTGCGAGTAGAACTGGGAAGTGACTAATTTTGATATTCCAGGATCTATAAGAGTTCACGAACCAGCATTCAGCTCACTGCAGGGTAGTCTAAAATTAATATAGGCATGCAGGCTTACTTCATAATTTAAAAATAGCTGAGGAAAATCAGTCAGATGAGTATTGGAGGCCTCTTCAGATCTAACACTATAGATAACTGGAACAATGTTGAATGCTCAGTGAATGCAGTGCCAGCATGTTAGTTTGCCAGGGGTACTGTTTCTGGACCTAGCTAACATCAGCTATCCACACCACAGCTGGCCACGCAACCTCTGTCTGCTTAGTGGGGGGGGGTATACTTTGTCCAGTTCTGTCCAAACCCAGCAGTTATGTTTCATATATTTCTTACACTTCTGTCAATAGGGGGTGAGGTAATGTGTAGATTACCTTTTCAAAATCTCCTGGACTCCCTGGATGAGCAACTTTGGCATGAATATCATATCTGACAGCAACATATATCTTATTCCGTTTGTAATAATGTATGCATATTTCCTAGTTTGACCCTTCAATCCATCCGTAGTGCAGACTGAAGTGCGCTTAATGACGGAATATGTGATTGTAGAACTGTTGTTCAAATGCAGGTTCTTATAGGTTATTAATTGAAACTTCAGCACCTTCTGCAGACTTTGCTGGACAGGGCTGACAGGAGACCTATGGTAAATCAACAAGCAGCAAACTTACAAAACGATCATGAAGAAGTTGACTGTATAAACAAAGCAAATTTGTCATTTATAGTTGTGTATTTATTTGTTTGACTGAGAACTGTGTAAGAGTTCCAATACACCAGTGGTTCAAATGGCAGTAAAGTCATCTTGATCTTAATCAAATTTGAGCAAAAAAGACAAATGCAATTAATTAACTAAACAAAATAACATGGTTAATCACAATTCATTACTTTAAGCTTGACAGCCTAAGTATCTTTCTGTAAGTTCTACCTCTCTGGAAAAATTGTCTTGATGAGCGGTAGTTTCTGAAACTCTCTCTCTCTCTCTCTCTCGCTCTCTGTTTAGTATTCATGGGCTGTTTCTGGGTCTTTGAGGGCCTCTGGGGAGGTTGGAGCTGGGATGATGAGAGGAAAGATGCAGACAGTGGGACAGACTCGCTATGAGGCCCATAATCCCTCCTCCCTCCCTGCCCCAGGAACAGAGGAAATGCACATTTGTCTAATTGGCACATTTGTTCCCATTAAAGTGCCGCCAACGTGGAGCGCTGCAAAGGCACGCCCACCAACCACGACTTCCTCCACTGCCAACACTCTCTAAACACTCTTTGATGGCAGCGTCAGCCAGTATCGACCCGCTGTGTGGCGCGGTTGAAAGAGCGGGGTGGATTTCTCCGCAGCTAATGGTGGCCTCGGAGGTCTGAGAGAGGTCCAAGGCTTTGATGTCACCCGAGAAGATGAAAGAGTGGAGCTCTGAGTTCACAGCCTGTTTTAGAAATGAGCGCAAATGTCGAAACTATGAGATTGCAAGAGG